GTTAATCGATTCATCCAGGGAAGAAACCACTGATTCCATGGCCAACAGCTCTTCTTCCTCCCTGCCCTCATGCATCTGGCAGTGGGCACCAGGCCAGGTGAGAGAACAAAACAGGCTTTCACAAGCACAAGGCGTGGTGGCTGCAGCTCTTGAGTGCATTCTTTCATGCTGTGCTATCAAACTGGCTGCTCGTGCTTGTCCTTGGCTAATCCTCAGTTTTCTGTCAGACCTGACATGTCCATTGGTTCCGACCCGCAGTTCTTTCTCGTAATGGCCAGTAATCGACGAAAATGCTGTGCTTCGCTTGCTAAAGACGCCCGCATTCGATGTCCTCGCTGTCCGACCTCTGAACCACATGGCCGTCCGTAGAACCCGGCCATCGCGAAGACCAGTTTCAAAGCCCCCCGCCAGTTCTCTTTTCTCCAAGTTCGTGTATCGTGAACTTCTAGGTAGCCATTCAGTCAGTTTCCAGCCATGGACTTGTTTATCGAATCTATCTCCCGACCTCCGGGAGCTTCGATTAACACAACAGCCATGTGCCGGAGCAACCACATGTGGCTTATATCAACGCGGTTATGATGGCCGGTGTGCTTAAGGTTCTCTGGCCACTCCGCTCGACAATTCCAATATTGGAAAAGATGGCACAGGAAACCAAGCCATTGCTTTATCCCGACCGCCTCTTTTCTCGGCCCATTGATCCGGCTGCCAAGTCTGCCTGGGCTTTCACAATCGAACAATGCCATAGTTACAACGGGAATATTCACTAACAAATCCCCGGAGGCTCCAACCAAGATGCTCAGGGGACTCCACTCCCCCGAAACCAAGGCACTTCTTTGGCCTCACCATCACGAGCAAATCGTCGATTGGCGACATATACATACATGGGGTGGACGATCCTCACTAGCCATCTCAAGCAAGGCGTGTCTGCTGGTTAAGCGAAAACTCTCCTCATGAGGCTTGCTGACATTACATGCTGCCTCTGCTCACCCTACCTTAACTTTACAGTTATCTCTATGGTTACAATGCTAACCACAACCATCTTACTCATGCCCTTTTGCTATCACGACCAGCAGGTTTCTGCGTCTTTGTTGTGTCATGGCTGACATGGCGCCAAGTCTCCCGTCCACGTAGCGATGCTGGGTTCCTGGACCGCCCTAGCTCCAAGAGGCTCCAGAGTTTGTTGGCTGCTGCTGGGCACTAAACGTCCAAGAGAGAGATTCTTTGCGTACGATACCAAACTTCAACGGAGTGACCGCTTTTGCAGTTTGCATCGACGACAAGCCGCTCATACCGTGATTTGGTATAGTACAGCTTCGGTTACCGTATACTTTGCTAGGTGCATATTGGCAGAATGAGTTTGGCTCGACCTGCATCGTCGACGCTGGCTGATGTTGTCATCCAGCCCAAGTTGCATTGTTTCCGCCTCTTTTGTTTACACGAGTTTCTCTCCTCTGACCCAGCTTGTTCTCCCCGCCGCTATAGGTCACCGAGTGCTACGCAGTTCCGCTGAGATGCAGTCCCCATTCCCACCATTTGCTGTCTTTTACACAGAGATATCGCAGGTTCCCTCGTGTCCAGGTCTCATTCTTGCTGCTCATGCCGTCTCCCGTCTTACTAGGTTCCCCAGACTGAATGCAGGCTGATCCAGTGATCAATTGATTAAGTGAATGGCCAAACCAAGCGGGTCAATACGGCCTGGCCTTACACAACCTGACAACCTGGTAGCCTCGTCCACTGAGAAGGGAAGGATCTTTTGTTGAGCTTGGAGGGAGGCCGACACTTCGGCCCTGTTGTTGCGGATCTGCCTAGCTAGGGGGAGCTTTCGAAACCTTACGCAAAGGAGCTCCCAATTGTCTTGGCCATTAACCAACACAGTATCGCTGACCTCCGTGCATGATATTGACATCACGTCTTGGTTCACCGTCGACCCAGGCTCCCGCTGCAGGAAACCCATTGCCCTTCCTGGCCGATTGCTAGCCAGCCTGCTAGTCCTCTCGATTGCATCCCTCCTGCATCACGGTTGCTCCAGTGAGCTCCAGCCACATCCTCTGATCCCTCTGGCAGTGGTTGGACTCACGATGCCCGTATCACATCTTGCCAATATTCGCACCCCTCCCTCATGATGATTATCGTCCCTCGCAGGTAGAGTCAGACTAATGCAACCAAGGGTGGAGTTTGAGAAGTGAGGTCTCTTGGGTGACTTGACCTGGAAAGTTAGGAGGTTGTCAAGGCCAACTCGGCCAACCTCTCTCATCTAATGTAGGTTCTGGTTCGACAAGTTACAGATATAAGTCTGCAACCTTCTCAGGTTTTCCTTCCATCTCTTCCATCCATCTCAGCCTCTCTCACTTCTCGATCAGCCTTGATTGGATTTGTGTATACCCAAGTAACCAACTCGTTCAGGTTACTTCTACCTTCGCTCAATCGAATCACCATCGCTTGCTCATAGCTTGCATTCGCTTTCTAATACCTTCGTTGATATCACAAATCCTCTCAACCTTCTTCATCATGAAGTTCGGTGCTGCCCTTCTGGTCTTGGCCACTTCGGCCTTGGCTAACAACGTCCGACGGGGAGATGAGTACGAGAGCCCAGACTCTGAGAGCGGAAAGGACTACGAGACTGGCGAGAACGAGTACAGACAAGACGAAGGATACGGAAAGAAGGGCCACTACGAGCACGAGGTTAAAGAGGTCGCTGTGACCTACACCACTACAACCATCTGCCCTGTTACCTATACTCATTACAAGGAGGGAACGTGAGTTTTCCAACGCCTACCAAGAGACTGCAGCATTCTAACAATATACAGCACCTACTGCGAGACCAAGCTCACAACCTCAACACTCGTTGTTGCCGAGACCAAGACTGTCGATGTCACAGTCAAGGAGCCTGATGTCACCAAGCACTACACTGATGTTGACTACGTTACCAGAACAACAGTGTGCCCTGTGACCCAGACCAAGACTGTTGCTGGAGAGGTAATTACCGAGGTCTACACGACCACCAGCATCATCTACGATATTGTCAAGTCTACCGACTATGAGCACGTTAAGCAGCCCGATGTCACCAAGCATGAGACCGATGTCGTCTACAAGACACGAACTACTGTCTGCCCTGTGACAGTCACCAAGACCATCGCCGGTGAGGTTGTCACTCAGACATACACCACCACCAGCATCATCGAGGAGGTGGTCAAGTCCACTGACTACGAGCACGTCAAGCAACCCGATGTTACTAAGTATGCTACTGATGTCGAATACGTTCATAAGACCAAGGTCTACCCCGTCACTGTCACCAAGACCATTGCAGGTGAGGTCGTCTGCGAGACTTACACCACCACCAAGGTCATTGAGGAGAAGGTTGCTACTACCGAATATGAGCAAGTCAAGCAGCCTGATGTGACCAAGTACGAGACCGATGTTGTCTATGTCACCAAGACCAATGTCTACCCAGTCACCGTCACCAACACTATTGCTGGCGAGGTCATCACCAAGGTCTACACCTCTACCGAGTACGTTGTTGAGAAGGTCCACACCACCGTCTACGACCAGGTCAAGCAGCCCGATGTTACCAAGCACGAGACAGATGTTGTCTACCACACCAAGTACGAGGTTTACCCCGTCACCGTTACCAAGACCGTTGAGGGCGAGGTTATCACCAACGTTTACACTTCCACTTCCGTCATCGTCGAAAAGGTTGCCACCACTGTGCCCGCTGTCGAGACCATCGTCAAGACCATTGGCAAGGGCGAGGTCGTGACTCAGTACTCCAAGGTTTACCACACTGTCGGTGGCGGTACCGTTTACGAGACTGTCGCTCCTCAGCCCACCACTGTCCAGGCTCCCGAGACCGAGGTTGTCACCCAGCCTGAGGTCACCGTCCCTGCCACTCCCACGATTGCCCCTGAACCCGTTGCTACTGGCGCTGCCGCCGCCAACAAGGCTCCCGTCTTTGCCTTCATGGCTGGTATCCTCGGTGCCGTCGCTCTCATCTAAAAAGCATGAATCATTCACTTCAAAGGCCAATAGCGCCGCCGGATTGGTTCTTGTTTTATTCTTTTTTACCCCTTTACTTCTCGTAAAAATTGGTTGTCCCTGGGAGCAGGGCACAGACTATTTGATTCATCGCGAGCCGTTGGAATCGCATACATACGCTCCTTTGCAGGACATGGCGAGGTAGAATTAGGAGGATGCTTATATCTGGGGTATTTAATGTCGTGGAAGAGGGTGGTTTGTTATTCCTTATCTTCACTTCTAATGTATATATTAATCTCTTGGCTTATATGATGGGGCACGGGATAGTCTAAGATAGGATAGGATGTGTAGTTAATTGAAGACGTGTTGTTGGACTGACTATGCCTTCTCTAATGCTTCCTTGTGATATCTGACTGTGGCTACCCATGGCGATCACTACTGAATACGACAATGGCTTAAAGTGTACGTTTAGACTTAAGGACGATTAGGTTTACCCGAAAACTTTAGTTTGACAACTCGTACTACCTATAAATCGAAAGGCTGGTAAGGCGTTGAGGCTTGATGCCTTTATGCTCTATTAATGGACCTTTCGAAGCTGCTCCGAACGCAGGTGAGAACAAATCAACCTCCGACCTTGATCTTTCTTGTCAAGATCCAATGAAGATCTTCTAGAAATACCCCCTTTGCCTATACTAGGGCCATCGCCCAACCTCCCTCATTTCACCAAATCTCTGTCTGCCTGCACCTGTCCATATCTGAGGTCCAAATAACCTCGCCCCAGAGAGCAAGAGAAGCTCTAAAGACCTTAAAGCAAGTTACTAGGAAGAATTAGTCGCGACCTGACTTTATGCAATACCGAACTTACCTGAGTCTTTTTTTTTTTTCTTTTTTTTTTTTTTTTTCGTTTATAGTGCCGTCCAAACGTTTTGCTTCCTCTAGCCTGGATTATATAAACCCAAAAGTCTTTTGTGTATACCCTGGGTGATGAAGGAATCTCTAGTGTAGGTAGAAGTGGGCAGCTGGTGGCTTCAAGAAGATAGTCGGCGTTGGAGATCTTCGAGGTCCTCCAGTGCCATCTCGACATCATAGTCATCGGCAGTGTTCACATCCGCTGGTACCGTGAAAGTGCTTATGACAAGGGGGATGGACAGAGGTTCATCGGGGTTGTAGACGATGCCAAAATACTCTTTCCCCAAGATGCAATCCTTGATGTAGTGTCGTCGGAAATCTTGCGTGATGAAAACCCTCTCGATGTGGCATGTGTCGTTGATGCAGGTCAGGCTTGTGGGGAGGACTATATATCTGTTAGCTTGTTTTACCTGTGCAGGGGAGGGGTTTGTTTGACTGACTGTCTCGAACCAGTACAGCGTTCTGGTGATCTCGACATGTCTCTGTCTGATGCAGCTGGACATGATAGTTGGAGACATTCCAGGAAGAGAACGTAGTCTCCCAAGAGACATTTGCCAAGTTGGCCCCTGAACCAGGCTCAAAGCTCAGATTCAGCATCTTAGAGTCCACCAACTCCCGGGCATAGTCCTCAAGCCTCTCCATCGCAGTGGCTTTGTGCCGGCCAAAGGATTCTTTGTCAATAGCGACCTGCTTGAGAACGAGATGAAACACGGCGCTTGTAACTGACATCATCAAATTCGCCAGTAACTCATCACCTCGCAGAACGTCATGAATCAGTCCCAGATTTTCCTGATCGAGCCACTTGTTGGGTACTCTGACGACATTATCATCAACTAAAACAGTCCAATGAGGAAGACCGCGTGCGTCGAAAAACATGACGCGGAGATTTTCTGTATGCTTGCATGCAGACAGACAGGACCGAAGAGCATTGTCGACGAAGGCGGCAAATACTGTGTCTGGGATAGAAGCAGGCTTTGCGTTGAGCACTCGAGGGATGTACTGGTATAGCTTTCTATTGACTGTTTTGTAGGGTGTCAAGATGGAATAGTACGTGTCTCGCAGTTCTAATGCCTGTCGACCAAAGTTGGAGAGATTCTTCAAGTATTCGGAGTCCTGTTCAAAGATTGTTAGCCAGCATATACCAAGTCGAAAGTCTTCGCAGTCCATGACATACCGGTCTTGAGCCGGTGGGATAGTACCACTTTGAGCGATCAAGAAATAGATAATCACCGAGAAGAGAAATGGTGTCCTTCTTGATGAACTGCGCCGCCAGCTCAACGTCTCCCCAGCCCCAATCGTCGAGTATGCTGCTGAGGTGTCCCACGAGATTCGGTCTCTGCTTCAAAGCCAGATCCTAGATGGACATGATAGCTTGACACTCTTCCTCTAGCGAACTCATGTGCTTCATCATCTCATCTGGAGTTCCGTAGAGGATGTTGTAACCGAATCTGAGCGGTCTCTCGGACAAGCTAGCATAGCCTCTGCGGGTCGTGTCACTCAGGAGAAAGCTCTTGAAGTAGATTTTGCCGCGAGACTTGGGATCGAGGATCAGGTCACCCATCTCAGTCTTGACGATATCGTCGTTCTTGATTCCCTGTAGAAACAAAGCGCATTCGCACCAGATGTTGAACTCTCTGGGGGTGACCGAGGAACGGTATATGTACTTGCCACGCCCGCTTCTCCCCACCTCATTGTCAGGACCGATATTGAAGATGGAGTCAGTCTCCGGATGCGGCTGAAAGGGGACATACAGACTGCCCTGTGGGACTGTCGATCGTCGAAACTGGTTAATCTTTTCTTGGTTCATGATTGTCACGAAGGCCATGAGCTGGCCCTCTTTGCCATAGTTGAACCTGTATCTGTGACCTCCCGTTCTGCAGGTAACAGCATGATTCGTACCGGCTCCCAAGAAGTTGAGAACGGCCCTTCCTAAGCCGAGTTCTGAGCGGTGGGTGAATCGGAAATCTTGGGGTTCCTTAGGCCGCTCGTCGTCAGGGACTACCATCGAGGGCTGCAGAGGGGTCACGTCTCGTACAGCGACTGTAACGGTGCCGCCCTTGCCATCTCTTTTGTTCATAAAGTGAACATAACCAAGAGGCTTTCCAGATCCATCTTGCGCAGTGAAAGCTATCTCTGCGGGGATCTTTGCATCGTAGTGGTTTGCACGCTTTTTCATGACGACGTCAAAGTCGGTCAGCTGCGTGCCAGCAGACTCCATGATTTTGTCTTTCCTATAAGACGCCATGTCAGCCTTAGTGATATGATCAGGGCAAGATATAACTGTGACTTACCACCAACGAATTAGCTCGCAGAATGACTCTTGAGCCGTCAAGCGGGGGGTCAGAGGTGTGAGCCCAGTAGCTATAACACATCTCGCTGCAAGTTTGTCAAGCGTAGGCATTTCACTCGCCTTCAACTTTCTCTTTTCTTTTTTTCTTCTTCTGCCTGGAGCAGCATCTATCTTCACTTCATCCTGCGCGAGTGTATCGTCGAGTGTTGGGTCACTCTCGGAACTGTTGTTCTGGCCCGACATCTTGAGAGTATGGTCGATGAACTAGGATGCCAGGCATACAAAAGAAGGACAGGAAATGGAATACAAAAAGGGGAGGAAATTATGGCATATTTGAGCAGTCCCAAAGACTGCTCACTTTGGCCGGCCACGGATGTTGATGTAGGTAAGGTAGGAATAGTACGAGGGGACGGGAACCCGCTTGAGGGAGCGGGAAAGGAAACACAGACTCCCACTGAGAAGGCCTGGGCCACCCGCCCTAACTACCTACCTACCTTAGCACGCAATTGTACTTTTATGTAATACCCTCCCCAAAGAACAGAATAGAAGCATAAACAGAACCCCAAAACCCGTAATTACTCCACTGCCACCGAGTATCAAGCCATTATCACACTACTCCGAGTACAGCTTCTCGAACTCCTTGGCCACTGAAGAAATCATCTTGACCTCCTTTTTCCAAATGCCTTGATAAAACATTCTGCCAAAAGTATCCTTGACATTCCTAGAGCACTAGCGCATGCGTTCATGCAAGAATATGGCCCTGCAACCGGCCTTGCCATGCTCATCTGCAATGTTATTGAAGAATCTGACGACCTCTTCTTTGCTGACATGCCACTGCTTGCCTGAAGTCACTGGCCACGGCACTTGGTATACTACAGGCTATGGTGAAGCTATCGTCACTCATGCTATAGAAACAAGAGCGTGGTCTGTTACTTACAAGCCCTTCTTCCAGCCCAGATTTGTCTATCGCCTTCCACTTGGAGTTGTAGCGCTCCCAAGCCTCCAGGGGATGGATCTCAACATCGTCTCCGCCATCGCTTTCTGATTCTGAGCTAGACTCGGAGTCAGACTCGGGCTCAGGCTTCTGGGGAATAGGCTTCTCCTGCTGGTTCACCATAAGAGTCAAGCACGATAACGGGAACAAGGCAGTCGCATACCTTGACTCGGGCCGCCTCCGATTTCTTCGCTGCCTCCGCCGCATCTCGAAACTTCTGCGAAGCATCCTCCAGCTCCTTATCGAAATCAGTGGCCTTGTGTTGATAGAGCAGAAGGAGTTTCACAGCCTCTTCCAGGCGCGGGTGGTCCGCTCGCTAATCAAGGGGCACACTATTTAACCTCGCCATGAGGTGTTCATGCTCCCTTACCTTTGCACTCCCAATAACTCTGTTACACTGCCGACTTTGGGACTTTGCGAACCCAATACACTTGGGTCCTTCTCTGTAACTGTGTGGAAACACAATTTGTGAGTCCAAGTTCTGACCTGAGGATAAGGGCATGATGGCGTTGAAGGAAGGACAAGGGCTATAATGAATGATAGACTGGTAAGATGACTGATGAAGATGATGATTACAAGTTTATTCGTGACTAGGTATTGCTTAGCATCAAGGTTATGTCGAGTGACCAGAGACTCAGGGGCATGCCCTTTACTTTATACCAGGGACTCAATACACCAAAGTAAGGATATTCTTTGAGATTCTGGTATTATTCATCCATGATCCTCCAAGCAGCATACTGCCGGCTTCCATGACAAGGCCCAGACATGTCGTTTAATGAACAAAGACCCTGCAGCCTCATGTGTGCTATAGAGTCTGCAGCTAACATGTCCACAAGGGATATCTGAGGGAGCTTATCTTTCAAGAAAAGCAAAGTCTACGGGAACTTGGTTTGTATTCACTAGAAATACTGTTGCTAATTAAAATCAACCGATAGAACGACTCAACGAAGCGGGTGTCATTACGATCAGACGGTGCTCCCCCGGACGGCAAGCTGCAGGCACTTTACCAGATTCCCGATTGTCACATTCATGCATGTTAGGGCTACTGTGACCTCCACAAAGCAAACACTTCACTGTATCCAACCGACTTGCCCACAGTCATGAATGAACAAGTGGCATTAGAATGATGGTAGCCTGCAATGTCAGCCTGTCCAACATGCCAGTGTCTGCCGCGTATATATACAGCTTGCCCCACACAAACTACAAAGACGATAGGGTCATTTGTCAGGTTTTTCAACCTGAGAAACGGTACTGAAGCTAATACTTTGCTACATTCATTGAGAATATGCTCATCTTGGATAAAATGGCTCGCATGCCGGCGGTGAGAATCGGTCACTCTTTGAGAAAGTGAAGAGTTACGCGGGAACTTACAGGCTATGTAACAGCCAGTGGAATCAAGATGTTACTTGTATTCAATTTTCGCAAGCAAACTATGATAGTTTATCTTTGGTGGGCAACTGGCCTCTGGTTATTACCGTAGGCATGGTGTAGTAAGATCCATCATGCACCCACGCTTAGCATCAAACTTAGGGTTACTGAACGAAAAAAAGCCCTGAGTATTCTTTCCTTAGCTCTCGATCAGTTCTTTGCCACCCTTTTTGTCATGATTGCTGAGTGGCAGTTTATCAAGTCTAATGACTTGAGGTTACATCACACCACTTGCTTCCTGCATCCTTTTGAGCAGTTATCATATACTTTGAATGATCAAAATAGAAGTCCTATGAGTCTCACCGCTTGATGAGTATCCCGAAGTATAACTTTGAGTAATAGTATCTTGGTAGACTGTGTCACCAAATGATGGCTGGCCACATTTCAGGCAGTTACCTTTGACTTGTTGGCTAGGCTAAGCCAGGGATATTGGAGAAGTGAAATAACCAGGCAAGATACACCAAGTCCCTAACCGTAGCCCTAAGAAGAGGAATCAAGCTCCTCACAGAGAAGACGGCCATTAATGAGTGGACAGTTGTTAAGTCCAAGCTTGATGTCGTTGCAAGAGGCTCATGTCACTCACTGATAAGAAAGATACCCCACCTGTCCACCTCCACCTTTCCATACCCCACTTGCCGCCCTTAGCAGGGATCCGGAGTAGTAATTAGTCCGCCATACACTTTACTCATGAAGCTTAGATTCCCTTAGGCAAAGCGTCGCAAAGCATTCAGAGTATTTTATCTTTAACCCGGCAAGGCTCGTCCAATCCATACCCACGACACCTCTACCATGGCGCCTGTCGATCGCGTAGATCACAATGCCCTTGAGCGTAGGTATCATGATATTCCAAATTGTCAACCTGCGTTAACCCCATCATAGAACAGCTCAAGGACATCATCCAAGATCTCTACCAAATAATGGTACAAGTCTCAACCTACGACTCCGTCGGCCGATCCAGCAGGGAAGTTCTCATCAACGAAATGTAACATACCTTGCTACTTCTACCTTCGAAGTCCTAACTAAAGACTCACAGAAAAACTCTCTCCGACTCCCTTCGCACTGTTCACTCCTCCGCCTCTCCCCCAAACAATTTACCTTCAGTACCTCCAGAACTTGTCGAGTATGTCGAGCACGGTCGTAACCCGGACATCTACACCCGAGAATTCGTCGAGCTCGTGCGCCGAGGTAATCAGCTCATGCGCGGAAAACTCAACGCCTTTGGAACCTTTCGCGACATCTTGGCGGAGAACATCACCTCGGCCATGCCTGAGTTGCGTGACGATGTGGCCCAGGTCGTCGAGGCCACTGGGGGCGTGCCGCCTGGGAGGAGGAATGGTGAGCAGCCGCAACAGAATGGCAATGCTACCAACCATGCCTCGTCGTCTGCTGCTTGAGGGGTTGGCGGGATTGGATGACTATGATGATTCACCAGGTTGCTCAGGCTACGAGCATGTTTATTTCAAGCGGTTGCGATTAAGCGCCGCAGATTTTATGATACCCTAACTAAGCGCGCGTAATGCTGCGCAACTTAATGCATTACTTCAGGTGCCAGCAGCGTTAAATGCCGTGACTCAATATTTGTCGGACGACAGCTTGTATGCGGAGGAGTTCATAACAACATTGACAAGCAAGCTCACACAGTGACAAGGATCATTAGCATTGAAATCTTCATAAATATGTGGTATGAGCAGAACTTTTGGGGAAAACCATCTATTATGCCAAGATGTGACATTATATGCGTGAAACACCCCAGGAACCGATCTAAAGGGTCCGCGTCCATCCCAGGCCTTCAAACCCTAACAACAAGCAACTCGCTGACCTCTAGCATTGCTCTGCATTCATTGATGTCTATCCCTAAAATAAACGCCCCAATGGTATGTTGTGTGGCATAGGATGAGTGAAAAGTGCCCATTATATGTGCAAGCCGTTCACAACGATGACGGCTTTTTCCTGCCAAAGAGTGGAATGTGCTTCATGCATATATATGCTGAACCAACCAGCGTCAAAATGAGTATCACCACTTGCCAAGGGAGCAAGACAGCTGCCGCCATGAAGAACTTGCTGTATCGTCGTACAGCGTCTACCAGCTGGCTATGGGCATCTTGACGGCGTTGTTCAAGATCATCTCGTAGCTTGCTGTTCCGGGGGGACTGTGGGTGGAAGTGCTCATCGCTGGTGGTTGCATAGTCGTCGTTTTCCTCTTCTTCGCCATCCTCATCATCGTCTTCTTCGTCATAGAAGTCCGCATCCTCATCCTCACTATCCCATAGGTCGTCGTCGTCATCATCCGCGCCGGCTGGTCATGAAAAGTTGAAACCGCCGGGGAATCCTCCACGCTGCCTGGGGTCAGCACCACCAAAGTTGAAGTGGGCGCCGCCGCCACCACCGCCGGGGAAGCCTCCAGCAGATCGGAAACCGCCGCCGCCGCCGAAGCCGCCCTGCTGGCCCATCATGCTGAATAGGATCTCCGGGTCGATGCCACCCATGCCTCCTCCCATGCCACCACCACCGAACATATCGTTGGGGTCCATAAGATCATCGCCATTGTCGTAAGCAGCACGCTTCCTAAAGGTGATATTAGGAACTTATCTAGTAGGGAGTTTTAAAGGTTACTTACTGAGGGTCGCTCAAGCACTCGTAAGCCTCCTGCAAGTCCTTGAACTTCTCCTCGGCATGAGGGTCACCAGGGTTCTTGTCAGGGTGGAGCTTAACGGCCATCTTGCGATAGGCCTTCTTGATCTCGTCACCTGTAGCGGTCTTCTCAACACCAACGATCTTATAGTAGTCCTTGCGTTGGGCCTTCTTGAGCTCAAGCTCCGCTTTGCGGATCTCACGCATGATGGTACGGTCCTCTGGATCGAGCTCCTGGATGGCCTTCCACTCCTTAACGGCGTCCTCCCATCTCTCGGCACCACCCAAAGCATTGGCCTTGGTCTTGCGGGCCTTTGTGTAACCAGGGTCAAGGTTAATGGCCCGCTCACAGTCAGCGATGGCATCGTCGTACTGCTTGAGCTTGATCTTGCATTGTGCCCGGTTCTGCAACAGCTTCGAGTTCATGCTCTTATTGGAAGGGTCAATTTCCAGAGCATTGGTATATTTCTCGATGGCTTGTTGTAGACGACCTGCCTTGAAGTCGGTGTTGCCCTCTTCCTTCATGCGGTCAAGTCTTTGGACAATTCTGAGCCACTTGACGGCATCACGGAAATCAGGATCACAGTTAATAGCCATACGGAAGAACTGGATAGCCTTATCGTTCTCGCCCTGACCATAGAGAACACGTCCTCGGAGAACAAGAGCCTCAGGGTCCTGGCTGTTGTTTCGGAGGAGGTTCATAGCAATGTTTTGTGCCTCTCCCAGTGAGTTTTCCCGTCCCATTAATAGATAAGCCTCTCCACGCATGAGCTGCCACTTGCGGGGCTTGGTGACACCAGGACCCAGGCCGCGCTCAGCCAGATCAAGAGCATGAAGCACCATGGACATGCCAGATCCAGATCCGCGTGCAAGAATATCACGGGCTGACTGAATATGATGCAACATCTCCTTCGCAGGGGCCATGTCCTTAGCAGATGGTGGGGGTTCAATGCGGTTGAAGGTTGTCATGGCTTCCTCTGGTCGGCCCATAGCAGTATAGATGCGGGCCAAGCGCAGAAGAATCTTGGCATTCTGAGGATCATAATCGGAAGCCCTCGAGCAGTCTTCAAGCGCATGCTCATATTGGCCATTAGACATGTAAGCAGCAGCTCGGTTGCCTAGATAAGTAGAGGAGAAGGGGAAGAGGTCGACAGCTGTGATTAGGTGTCAGCATTTGGAGATGCATTCAGCCAGGCTGAGAAATCCTGGAAGTAAGAAGAGCCTGACGGCAGGTGGCGATGCGTACCTTTGCTATACTGCTCGATAGCCTTGTAGTAGTTCTTCTCCTTGAAGAACCGGTTACCAGCAGCCTTGTAGGCTTCGGCATCTTCCTCGGGCGTAATTGTTGGGCTTCCAGGGTTGGATTTGTGAGGAGGTGGTGGAGGGGCGCCGTCGTCATGACTGGAGCCGTTGGGAATAGGAACGGAAAAGTTGGTCTGGGCT